CCAGCTATCTTCGCACGGGTTCCGGTTGCGCATCGACAACGACGATGCCCCTTCCGCCAGGATTGGATATATTGTCTTGCCATCGCCTGCGCACCTTTAGTGGGCTGGGCGGCACGTCAACGATGATTTGTGCTTACCAACCACTGCGTTTCGTCATGCAGGTAACCAATAGCGACTCCCTATTTGCTAAGCGAGCCAGTCATAGAGCGTTAGTCGTACTGCCGAGCCCAAATTCAATCTGCACCACTGTGTTTGACCGCTCTTGTATTCTGTTGACTTATTATTATTGTCCGTTGATGTTAAATTGAACCCCGATCCTAATGACAGTGTAAACACTGAACTGCTCACCACGCTACGAGAGCTTCAGTCCGGGCAGTCAGCCATTTGAGACCAACTAAAATCTATTCAAGAAACCCTGACTGATCATGAGAAAAGATTTCTCGAAATAACTTCCAGGTTGGTCAAAATTGAATCTGAGTGCACCGAGTTTCTGGCTAACAATACTGAAATTTTCACACTTCGAACGGCAACTGACGCTAGCATAGCACATGTGTCTGCCCTGACTGCCCGAGCCGACGACGCCGACAACAGGTCTCGTCGCTGTAACCTTGCCTTTTAAGGGTTAAAAGACACTTCTAATGAAAGCTGGCGTGAGTCCGGAAAACTAATCATTAATGTCTGTATTCAGCATATTCAGTCTACCATTGATCCACCGTGAAATTGAACGCCCTCATAGACTCGGGTCATATGGTAACGGCAGGTCAAGGCCAGTCATTGTTAAGTTCGCACATTTCAAAAACAAGGATCGCATTCTTTCATTAGCGCACAAAATTAAAGGATCAAGTTTTGGCCTTTCTGAAGATTTTTTCCCTGCATCTCGGCTAGATCGTAAACACCTTAAGCCTCATTCCCACCGAAGGTGGTGCGGCAATGCGGGATTCAGAAGCGGTGAGGCAGCGAGGGCGTGAATCAGTTCAGACCACATGCCTCCTTCGTCTGGCCGTGCCGCAGAAGAGGCAGGCATCTCGCGATTTTGTGCACGTGCTGCTATGACGTGTCAGTGCTGTTCCCAAACGAACACCCGCAGCCAATCGCAACACCTCGCGGCGGTGGCGCTGGTGTATTCTTGAAGTGAACATCGGGTTGAGATTATTCAAAATGGCGTCAACCATGTCCGAGCAAACAGCATTTTCCGCGGAGCTCCTAATCGATGCTATTAAGCACTACCCAGTGCTCTTTGACAAATGCCATCCGCGATACAAAGAAGTGGAATACAAACAGGAGCTGTGGATGAAAATAGCAACGCACTTGGAAGTTACCAGTGTGTGCACAGCCCATCGTTCATAGCATCGGGAAATTTTCAACTCCGCTCTGGTCAGACACACAACCGCGCTCAAGGAAGCGTAGTGTGCGTGAGTATTCAAGCTCGTTATGTCACTCGTCAAGAAACCAACATCTATGCAGTTTCATGCACTCCTTCGATACGCTACATGTGCGACTGGCTGAGCGTAAGCGATACTCAGCCTAAAAAACCCATTTCTATTGTCTCTTTAGAGCGTGCGTTTCAACAGTCTGTAAGAGATATTTCGGAATGAGTACACGAAAAGCGTCTCCACGAAATTCGAAAGCTTTGGGAGTTTCGCGTTTTATTGTGCAATCACTGCGTTTTCGCGAGAAAAATTTAAAATCAGCGTTCAAAAACCACGCAAGTTCGGCACAGTCCCCACATCTGGCGGCTTGCCCACGGCGTCAGTCCACAGGCACAGCAGCAGGTTTCGTGACTCGCTGCAGCTCATTCTAATCTTGCCTCAAGACGGCATAGAACGCCTAATCTACAAACCCCCCTTTCTGCAATTTATGACAGTTGAGCAGTTTGTGCAACACTCACACACGTGAATTTAAAAATAGATGTATGTGGTGCCGTTTTCTTCCAATTTTCATGTAAATTCATAGATAATACGGCTCGCCTACAATTTCTTATTTTTAGTTTTCTTGAGTGAGACTGCCGAATCACTCCAGTTTATGCACGAAAAAAAAGATCTAAATTTCCTTGCTTTGCGATTGAAGAAAATAGGACATACATTGCTTCACATTGAGTAGCACTGCTGTGCAACATCTTACTAAGTTGTGAAAATGTTTTTCTTCATTTTTAGCGGCACTGTGTAAACAAAATTCAAAAACCTAAAGGATAGTTTCAGTAAACTGAGACCAAAAATTAAGGACAAAACAATAAGTGGGGCTGGAGCCGCCAACACTCCTTCCGTGAATTGGAGGCACTTCGAGTCCATGGTGCCCATAATGGAGGAAGTTTACGTGGAGCCCATGTGAGTGTCCCCACTGATCTCACCAAATTGTTAGTTTCCACAGCGTTTCGTTAATTTATTGTTGATTCTAGTTAGTATCATAAAATGCTGCGACATCACATATGCCATAAGTGCAGTGTGAACTCGAAGCATCTTATGGATAAGTACACGAATTTTATGTTTATTCAACTGGTATTGCAGCATATGCAGAAACATCAGTTTTAAACAGGCCACAGGGTAAGTAACCTGAAATGAACATCAAAGTGTATCCGTTGTTGCAAAATTGTTAGTGGTGACATACTGTACATAGGTTATTTTAGAGAACGTTGCGTTCCCCTGCTGTGCAATACGTACAGTTGTGCTCAATTTGAGTAGTGACACATTGACCACCATTGAAGGGGCCGCAAGCCTGAACTGGTAAATGTTATATTGGTTTCAATCATACCAGTATGCTTGAACAAACTTTGCTATGTCAGCACTGATTCGCAGTGCTGACCCCACGTGCACTTTAAGCACGCCCTATTGGAAAAATTGCCATGGTGGATACTGGAAAACATGGTGGGCGTAGTGGAAATAATAGTGGGCATGGTGGAAATAATAGTGGGCATGGTGGATATTATGATGGCTATGGTGGGACGTAGTGGAAAATATGGTGGTTATGCCGGGACATACTGGGTGGTATGGTGTACAGATGATGGGTAAAGTGGAAATGATGGTGGAAAGCAGAGGCTAGATAGTGGGCAATAATGGGACACTCTGCCCACCATTGCGATAATGCTGGATAGCCCTAAGCGTATGGTGGGTGGTGCTTATTATGGTGGGCTACATGGTGTACCAAGCTGAGAAACTCTTCCCACCATTGCGATAATGCTGGGAAGCACTAAGCAGATGATGGGTGCTGCTTGTTATGGTGGGCCACATGGTGTACCAAGCTGAGAAGCTCTGCCCACCATCAGGATAATGCTGGGAAGCAGTAAGCAGATGATGGGTGGGCTTATAATGGCGGGCAAATTATATAGTGTACCAAGCTGGGATCTGTACACTACATGTTCTACCATCATGATTTCCACCAAAGGTTAGGCCTACTGACCGAGCCCGTATCAGTGTGTTATCCGTGCTTCCGGGTTTCAGAATACACGATTACGACGATTAAGTATGACAATACAGCGCAGCCATATGGCATCAATTAACCTAAATGAAGCATTTTTCATTGTGTATGCTGTTCGCTCAAGAAGCAACAAACATCGATGCGACGCGATTAAAGCACTCCCAGAGAACGTAATTTAGTGTCTTCTCACCGACAGCCGCCGGTCGCACTCGCCGGCACTTCTCTAGCTTTTGTACGAGAACTCAGACGTGGCAATTCGTGTGCTTGGTGAACCATTATGATAGCGTAATGTTTCTGGTACACTGCATTCGTTTTGGCCAAGCCGTTATGTAGTTGTTGCTTTAGCGAAAGAGCAACAGCATTGCGCGAAAAGCATTCCAATACTCAATCAAATAAATTAGGCGGGCGTATCTATGAAATGAGCCTAGAAGCGTCATAAAGCGTGAGCAGATGTCGCCCTTTAGAACGAGCGCGAAACGGATATTAAACTTGGCAGACCCCGCCGGTAAACTGTTGCTGCTCCCCAGTCCACTTGGTTTTTTTTTCCTTTAAGTTGTGAATTGTAAAAAAAAAATAGCACTAGTGCCAATAACATAGTGGCAATCGTTACAGGGCGCAGTAGCTTGTGTTTAAAAAATGTGCAATTTTTAGTAGCAGGTGTAAATCTTGTCTATGTTGTGTACACGACAAACATAACTTAAGTTGAACCTTAAGTTTGTACGCCAACTAAGTATTTAACACGCCACCACCGTCATGTTGGTGTGGCGCAGTGGTTAGCGTCTTCGAATGGGAATCCGTAGGTTGCACGTTCGATCCTCCGTGGCGCCTTGTTTTTTTTTTTACGGGACGGGTGTTTTTTTATACCGTTTTTATAGAATTCTTTTTTATTTTTTGTGGCAGCTCGTCACGGTGATTCTGACGTCATTTTGCGCTCAAGTGTTGCCGGCACTGCAGCACCCACCATACCCACCATGTGCCATGGTGGGTGTTTCCCACCATTCACCCACTACATTAATCCACTATAATGGTGGGTGGTGGTTTCCACCATGCCCATCATTCGTTTTTTTCCAATAGGGCGGACTGCATTTGCAGTTTATTGAGTCCAACTGCATACATCTGGTAAGAGCAATTCGAACATTGTAAGAGTAAATATGAAAAACAAGTTTATTTTCCCTTGATGCAGGTCAGATTGTTACAAGGAAGAAGGCACAGGCCAGGATGAAGTTGAAAAATTTATATACAGCGACATTCGTGAAGTCGGCACAGAAGACCTCGAGAGGTGTGGCAGCAGCACGTCAGACCTTTGCGGTCGTCAAGCAGAAACCACCGACAGTACTGAAACGTAATAATGGTTTCATAAGTGATATTGGCTGACACTTATAAGTAGAGCAATAATTATTGACTCGTAAGTTTTAAGGCACTCGCAGCTAATTATTTTGGAAATTAATCATGCAGCCAACAAGAGACTGATGTCCTTGAAACAGAAGGAGAGGAGACAAATACAAGGCAAGAACATTGTAGTTGTTGCAGCACATGGTGTGTTCCAACAATAGAGGATGGCTTTACTAATTTAGGTTTTTTACAGTGCACCAAGGCCCAGGAAGTGTCGCCGAGGGTCGAAAAACCGAAAGACGTAAGTTGTGACCTATTTCGTTGCAGAACAATATGAAAACACACATCTCACTTGCAGGATTTCCAATGAAGGAGCTACATCTTTGGATGTGGCAGCGGCAAGTCTAGACCATCTAAAAACAGCACGCGAAGGCCAAGAACAAAAAAAAGACGTCCTGTACTTTTTTGAACCCACGATAGTTGGAATGCTTCTCACGCTGCCTTTAGACGACCAGTTAAACAGAATGCATGAGGTGCAAAATTTGGTTCACCATAAAGTGAAGGAGGTTAAGGATCGCTAAGAATTGGAGTAATTGGAGTGCAAATAAAGCCTGAATTTGCCCCGTTTTCACACAAGTGGTGCTTCTATGATAAAACTTTTTTCGCTGACATGACTTCGAATGGTATCGCCTGTTTCTTAAAGTTAATTTGTGTTTGCTTAAATTTGTGTAATATGTCTGCACGTTTCAATACAGACATACATAGTTTGAAGTAATTTTTCATCTGGTAGCCAATCATGATGAAGGCAGTGAATCAAAAATAGCTCTTCATTTGTATTATGCTGTTTACCTTTGTCGTGTAGTATTATTGTGCAGTGATGCTGTCGATGCTACAGAGATGTGCTAAGAAGGCGTAAACTTACTTGACTGGTTACCATCTCAGTCTTTCACTTGTTGCACCTGCCATGGCACATTGCCCTGTGTTATGAAATGCCTGCGCAGCTCATCACGAATGGCATGAGCGTGCCTGCAAAAGGTATTTCAAGAAGGTTGTGATATTGAGGCAAAACGATTTCTCAATCTTCTTTCAAATATGACTATACCTGAGATGCATTAAAAATAAAACATGTACCGAAGCCATGTTTACCTTGACAAGTTTCCATCTGTGCCGGCTAATGCAGTCAGTGCACCGTTGACTACACCCTTAGTTCTCCAACTCCCATCTGTACGGTTGCCTTGCCAGTCTTCACTGTCTGTGCTGCCTGGAAGACAGTACAAATTTTGTGATGCAGGCGACTCCTTCAGAAGAAAGTTGTGCAAAGCCACACAGGCAGACACACTTTTTTATGTTCTCCTTTATTGCTTTGAATGGCCAACAAAGAATTCGCCACTTCTGGGCGAGTATACCGAAAGAATTTTCGACTACTCTTCGAGCCCTGCTCAACATATAAATAAATATTCTTTCTTGGTGGCGCTCCTCAAATTAGCTGGTTGCACCGATTTGTATAGAGGAGGACCGGGACGTGTAAGCTGTGGTGTTTAAAGTGAGAACGGGATGAAGACCTGTAAGAAAGTACATGTTTTGGAATGAAGCTGTTGTACTATAAGTACAAAGCACCACTTGTGTGTATGAATCAGCGAAACTAGTTGCACCCAATTATTTGCACTTCTGCTCTAATACTGATACATGAAATAGAGAATTGATATTCAACTGCATAGCTCTTCTGATGCTTCTTATAATATTAGCTTCACCTATAAAACATTAAAGCTGTGCAGAAGCCTCTGTCCGAACAAGCATATTTGAGGCACTATTATGCATATCAATTGTAAGTACTTCAATTCTAGGTTGTCAGTAGTGCTAGTACAATAACAAAACAACACTCATTTGTAAGGTATGCACTTGCATATATGTTGACAAAATGAATGAGCAGTGAATATGCAGTATGAAGCAAGCAAATTTGGACAAGTGATCAATTTATGCTGAATTTATGCTATAGGTTCAACAATGTCAAGGCCACGGCTATACTATAAACTGAAATATACCTTTATGATATCTCCACTTACTTTTCTTAGAATATGGTCTCATCGTGTATGTCTTTAGAGAATATGCCTCGTCACCAACAAAAATTACGGCATGTTGCCAATACTTCCAAGACAGGCCTCTGGTGAAGTTCCAAGAGTGCCATTCGTCACCATGGGTTGCAGCTTGCTTTGGCTGAATATGCTTCCATCTGACTCACTTTCGTTGTGACCAATCTCCACATACAGAAAACTAGAGTGCAAAAAAATAAATCTAAATGTTAGCATTGATGTTTTACAGGCACCATTCATTGGGATTCCACGTTACATTTTGAACCAATTGTCATGCCGTGTAGCCTAATGCGATAAACACTAGTCAGAACAAACATTTCTCGGCATCTATTCATTTTAAGCATACTGTTTACCATACAAAGATGGTACAGCAAAGCTTATTTTTCTTAAAAATCAAATGTTTGACTACAATAAATTGTCGGACTAATTGGTAGTGCCTTATCTGCCCAGGTATATTAGCGAGAACAGACAGAAAGACACAAGAAATGGAATGAACACACCTGCATGTCCTCGTGCTCTTTCTTGTGTGTATTATTTTGCTCTAATTACTGTACATTATTATTTACAGCTAGTTACCGCTTTTTATTGAACGTAATTTGTTCATCTCTGCCAAACTATGTGGAGTTTCGCATGAGTGTGAATTGAAATTTCTATGTAAACTGTTAGAACAACTCTTCATGTTTTGATGAAACATATATCTTCAGCAAGCAGACCTGCACCACTCTATTGAGGGAATTGAAAGTTGTAAATACTAATTGTGCCATAGTAACAACATACAGCTGAGCTAGCTGATAAGTCTTCATTCAAAAAGTAGGGCATGATGTCCTCACTTCTTTTGTTAGTGTTTGCATGCCCAGAATTTTAGAAAATGCCTTGATACAAGCAGGTGACGTGGAAAATAATATTATGTAGCACAGAACTATGCTGACCGGTAGCTCAGTCTTTGATTAGAAATGCTCACAGCATTCGCTATGAACAGGACTGCCTTCTCTAACAATAATCACTGACATACAAAGCGACATCAGCAGATAAATACCAGTAGTTTGCATCGCTGATTGCCATCAATGATTTGCTGAATGAGCCCCTGTATTTTCTGTCTCGGCTTCCTGAGTTTACTGTGCACTCCACAATCACATGTTTGCCGCCTATGGCACCCAGACAGTGTGGCATATCCCACTTCTCTTCAAAGTCTCTCGCAACATGCAATGAGGTCATGAAAAACAATGTTACCCTTAAAGTATTTTGAAGCGAATGGTTACATCAACGATAATATTGAGGTTTCATCGATACTGATATAAACTAATAAGTGGTGAACATATTCATGTGCAGTTTAATGAGTGTAGGACAGCTGTTAGAAACAGTTGCGACATAAAGTATCAACTGACCGGTCGCCTTTGACTACTCATTCTGTGTCGATGGAAGTGCCACGTATGTGGGGCCACGTACATCCCAAATTGCCTGGCATACTCCACAAACGATGACACAGGCCATGTATCTGCCCGTCAGAAAATTGAACGATGGTGATGGAAGCGTCTCTCCTGCCGCCAAGAATCTAAAAAAACATTGGTAAATTTAAAAGTGCTTTGAATCAGCCCTATTATGTGGCTTTGCATGGTGAAGATAAAAAATAATTTCTGTGCATGACGTAAAAACAAGCAGTTCAACGCGCGAAATGTGTCTATATGAACCCTTGCCTGATTGCTAGAGCTAGCCGGTGTTCTGCAGGAATTGCATTTCGATAGTTGGTGTCATTCTTTTTGATTTTTGGCCTGACCATTTCTAAGAGTGTGTCGAAGCAGCTCGGAACATCCTCAAATAGCTGCGGAAATAACACACATGCCAGGCAATTTGAAGAACACGCAAAACTCATTCCTTACAGTGGCAGACATCACTAAAGAAACGTGATGAAGTCTCATTAGTTTTCAATGGGTACTCACTCTCTGTAGCATTTCACATCGCGAGACCGAAGGAGCGTCAACAAAATGTCCGCATGCCCCATAGTATCTCGCTGCTGCAATGCTGAACGGATCCACCAGCGACGTTGGCAGCGTGGCTATTTACCCGCTTCCAGCTGTTCATGACGCAACAATAATCAAGCGACTGTTAGAACGGAAAGTGTATCGTCCTCTTCGTCCGAACTTGTCATGGCAGGCGTCGTAACAAAGCAAAACTGGCGACACCGCTGAGTCGGAAATGGCGCGAGAGCTGGACAGCTGACACAGGCGCCCTAACGTGGAGAGTAGAGGAGTCACATGAGAAGAAGTCCCAAATTGTGCCATGAGATGGCGACACACAGCAAGATACCCTGCCTCTTTGGCCGCGCGGGCAGCCAAGCGATCCGTGCAGTCTGAACAGGTACATGCACTCGCCGCCTCGCCGCGTTGAGAAACTCGCTTTGCCGCTTTGCCGCCCGCCTTCGGTGTGAACCAGGCTTAACAATCTCCAGCCCAAGCTGCGTTACGATAAACTTTTCTCTAGCGGCAAAACCTTCGTCTACAACCAGCAGGCCAACAAGGTAATCAAGCGCAAATCCTAGTAGTCACCCCAGTCTAAACCTCATACACCGCAACGTAATCGTTCTTCCATATCGTTCTTGTATACTAATATCCGTAGTGTAATTCCAAAACGTGACTCATTATCTGGCCTCATCAGCTCTTCTTCGTGTAATGTTGTTTTGCTTACTGAGACGTGGCTTAACACATCCATTCGCGATTCCGAGATCATGCCCCTCTTCCCAGACTTCGATATATTTGGCAAAGATAGAGTCGACAATACCCGCGATGGTGGCGTCCTTATCGCCACAAGCCATGAACTACAATGCATCCTGATTTTAATTCCATCACCTCTTGAAATGCTATGGCTATGTTGCACTGCATTCCTCCCGCGCATCCTTCTTGGCTTTTGCTATCGCACTCCTTCTGCCGATGCCGCATTCTTGCCCGCTTTCCACGATGCGTTAGACCAGATAAAGAATTGGTATCATAACACGCCTGTCTTAATTTTTGGCGATTTTAACTTCCCATCTATCGCTTGGTCAAATCTCGATTCCACTCTGTCAAAAAGTAACATGGCCAGTGAATTCGTCAACACGTGCCTTGCATTTGGGTTATCGCAAGTTGTCAACAATCCCACTTGCTATACTGACCATTCGGATACCATTTTAAACTTAATATTAACTTCACACCCTGAAAACCTTTCCTATATTGTATACCTGAATATTCTCAGTGATCATAAAATACTGCATGCTACTTTTTCAAGTGACATGTCCAATCCAACAAGAATAAAAAAAACACTCACGCTTTATGACAAGGGTGCTACAACAGCATGTTCCAAGATTTAACAACCTTTTGTGATAACTTTGAGGTGGACTTTTACCACCGTTCACATGAAACTAACTGGTTGCTGTTTAAATCTGAATTTCTGCGCCTATGTAAAAGATACGTTCCCACCATAACAATCATTGAACGGAAACAATCTCCGTGATTTAACACAACACTAAAACGTCTGAACAATAAAAAGAAACGTCTCTTTCGTCCTGCTAACACC